ACAAATTAACAGTGGAGGGGGTGAATTCAAGCATGTATATTTGATACATTGTAAGAAACTTTGTAAATGCTGCCTTGTGCCCCTACGCAGAACAACAATTTTTTAAAAAAGAATAAACAGGAAAGATAAAAATGTTAAAGTTGAAATAAAGATGATGTAAATTTTTAAATATCTCACTAATCACAGTGAGTTCACTGTCAGTGCCTTACTACACACACAATACACACTTTGTGAAAGTTTCATTGGCAGTGATAGAAGGTATAAGTCCACATTTCAAAAAGAATCCTTAAGAAAACATTTTGTGACCCCATTTTACTGTTCTTGCATGATAGTAGAATTCATAAAGCTCTCACACTGGTATTAGAGTGTTGAATCTGCCTTTTTATGGTTACGGCTAAGGGTTAACTATTCATATCTCCTGTAGCTTCTTAACAATACTCATTTAGGCCAACTTTTCATTTTGTGAGTTACTTCATTTGAAGTACATAATAATCAGTAAATTCAACAGATAACCTAACCAAGTATTAATCCATTTGATACGGCTATAACAGAATGCAAGAATCTGAGTACTCCATAAAGAAAAGAGATTTATCTCTTACAGTTCTAGAGGCTAAAAAACCAAAGATGAAGGACCTTCTTGCTAGGTCACCTCATGATAAAAGGCAGAAGGGCAAGAGACCTGGAAAGAGGGAAAAAAGGAGAAAGGGGCAAAAAACTCATTCCTGTATTTGGATCTCACTGCTGCAAGACTTCATCACTTTTTAAAGATTCCACCTCTCAACAGTATTGCATTATGGATTAGGATTTCAACATACATATATATACTTTGAGGAATACATTTAAACTATAGGAAACCTTAAAAATGTGCATAATTTATGTATTTGTGCCTATAAATCTGTAAGCTTATTCCCAAATGGTTTTGCAGGTAACTTTATATAACCTTAAAGTAACAAATCTTGTTTTATACAATGTCAAAGAATAAAAAAAAGAGAGAGAAAGATTGGTATCATCTTAATACCAAAAAATAGAGAAAGGTAACAAAAGAATAGAAAAACGCAATTTACAAAACTAGATTCAAAATCCTAAATAGACACCAGCAAATTGAATATAGTGAAGTGTAAAAACATAAATGATGACTGTAGGACGTGGATAAATAAGTATTTGAAAAACTTGTATGATTTCCAAATTAAAGAAAAACTAATATCCTGATAGATACAGTAAAAAGACCTTATAAAAGCTGACACATTTATTATTTTCAAAAGGAAATGCTTTTAAACAGAGTTGATGGGCACTTTTACTACCAAAAAAACCCATTATAACCTAATGATTAGAAGTAAGGGACAAGACAAAAATGCACACACTACCAATTTTAGACATTTTATAAGAGGTCTTTATTTAAATCACCCAATTCAAAAATTCAGTTTTTAAAAACACCTTTTCTTCTATAGCAATAACAGCAGGAAAAACATTAAAACACCCAAGAGTGAAACTGACAAACAGTATAATACCTGGTGGAGTATTTTGAAGGACAAAAGATTTCAAAACTGATGGAGTATTTTGAAGGACAAAGATTTCAAAACTGAACGATTGTACTTTAAGTGAAGAGAGAGACTGAAGATGATTGTTTAATGCTAACCTTTAGGATAATGTTTAAAATCTTAAATTCCAGGATTCAGCCCCTGCCCTCCCTGTCCAGTCTCACTTGTGTCTCTTCATCTTTCACACTGTCTTTCATCAGTTTCTTGGACTAGGTCATATCCTCTAATCATTAGAATACTGACACATGTTGGTGCCTCTCTATAAAAATTACCCTGTACACTAACCAAGTTTTTCTAAATAAATGTTGGTTAGGTTTTTTTTTTTTTTTTTTTCAGATCCAGCATCATTTCCTTAGGGAACCTTCCCCATACTCCCAACTGAACACACAGATGCATACACGTACACCCTATATTCTTAACAATATACATATTTAGTTTTGGGCTTCTCACATTTTCTCATAGCCTATATTTTGCAGCACTCATCATCCTGATAATTATTTGTTTCAGCTACCTTATGTGTTTGCTTGTCACATTTGCTTATTTGTCCTTGTTTTCCTTTGGATTAAGTTTTCCCTTCATTTCATTTGTTTGTTGCTGTTTGGCTGGTAATTATGTAAGAAGCTTTAAATGTGTAGTTAACAATTAAGAAATGAGGCATTTAGAGTATATTCACTAGTCACTTTAATACTTTAAAATGGTATCATTTTACTATTCTAGAATTTTACTATTAACTGAGTTCTAGAAAACAAAGCACTTAGACAAAGTCAACAGTTTGCCTAAAGTCTGTGTGCCTTGTGTTGCTACTTCTAGTAAATACTAATTATCCAGTTCTCTTACTAATACAACATTTTCTGTTCTTTTTGTACGACGTGGAACTCTCCAACTTTCCAAATACCATTTGAGCAGCTTTGAATGAAAACAGTCATGTGTGAACAAATCAAGTGGTTTTTTTCACTAGAGAATGGTGGGAGAGGTGACCAAAAGTTGGTTTTAAGCAGATTATATATTGTGTAGTATGTCAGTTTCTTCAAGTCACCTTGCAGTGTCAGCTCATCCTCCACTCTTTTTTTCCTATGTAGTGCCTTCCCAGTCATGTCCTATTGCTAAAACCATTTAAGATAAACACGTAACAGCCACATATCAAATACAAGTGTCAATTTTAGATCAATACTAAATCAGCACAATATGAAATGATAAAATGTTAGGATTGCCTTTCTGTTACAAATATAAAGCTTTTTCTCTTGCAAAAATTTATAGGGGATGGAGTGTTAGATCTCTCTACAAAGAAAACCAGCATAAAATCTGAAGAGTCATCCATATGTGATCCTTCTTCTGAAAATTCAATGACTGGGTAAGCAATATCTAGGAAACAATATTAACATAAAATTATCTCTGCAGAGAACTCTTAATACTATTTTGAGTAGTACTGACATATCTAGTTTTCCTCCAGAATTTTTGTCACTCATAAGTGTGTCTCTCATAACTTTCATTTGTCCTTTCTCTTTCTTTTTTCTTCTTTCTGTTAAAGAAAAGTTATCAGAACAATCACCAAACTTTAGTTCATGTTACTAAAATGAACTATCAACCTAATCACAGAATACAAACTAAGAAGCAGGACAAGTAAGAGAACTTAAATACTTGAGGCACTTTTAAGGGAAATAATGTGATTTCAATATTTAAGTTTTTAAAACAATGAAAAAATTCTAAAAAGTACTGTACTTACTAATTCTTAAAGCTAGCTTATAGCATTTATATTTTATTTCCTTGTGCTTTAGATGTGGTGGCAAATGATTTAATATATCTAGTAATCGCCACAAAAAGTCCTCTCATGTTTTGAAAGTTGTTATTAATTTAAATAATTACTAGTGAAATGCTGTTCTGTTGGATTTTTGGATTTGTTTGTAACTTTTTACATCTTCACATTAACTACATAGAAAGCTTTTTTGTCACACATAAAACTGAGATGTAGAGTGTAGTTTGTTTCAACTAAGGCTGTAATAGGTATAGTGAGCTCTTTATTTGATAAACATTGAAAATTACAATGATACGTAATATCTAAAATGAAATTATTTTGCTCAAAAGCAGCTTGTTTGAAATTTTAAGTTTTTATCTAGAGGAAAATTAGTCTTGTGGAAGTATGGGATGTTTGTGTTTGGAAATATTCTTACTGCTACAAATTTCCTTTAAATGGGTTTACTCTTTTATTACTTGTTTAGTGGTAACGTCACATTTCTACTAACAAAAACTCCTTTAGGATTTGGGTATTTTTTTTATAGTGGAACTCTAATTGTACAATAAAAATTGATAAGTGTTGCTCTGCAAGCATCTTTCGGTGGAATAGCAACATCATGAGCATATTTTTACAAATACTGAGTTAGGATTTTGTGTTCTTGGAAGGTCTTCCCGTTGAGGCCCCCGTATCATTGACACATTGTCCTACCAGGACTATAGCGTTTGCTTTGATAAGGAGTAACTACCACATCTCACAGACTTAAAAGTGTTATGAGCAGTGATGTTACCTAAGCAAGGAGTATAATAAAGGAGTGGACCCTCCCCTTCCATAGCTGTGTGAGAGTCTCTCATGCATCAGTTTACCATCGTTTCATTCCATCCATCCAGGAGACTACACAGAAACAGAGAGGACTATGTGGAAAGAAGTGCTGAGTTTGCAGATGGTTTGCTCTCAAAAGCTTTGAAAGACATTCAGTCTGGAGCACTGGACATTAATAAAGCAGGCATACTTTATGGCATACCTCAAAAAACTTTACTTCTCCACTTAGAAGCCTTACCAGCAGGGAAGCCTGCATCTTTTAAAAACAAAACTCGAGATTTCAATGATAGTTATCCATATAAAGACAGTAAAGAAACTTGTGCAGTGCTGCAAAAAGTAGCCTTGTGGGCAAGAGCTCAAGCAGAGCGCACAGAAAAAAGTAAACTCAATCTACTTGAAACCTCAGAATTAAAATTCCCATCAGCTTCCAGTTACCTCCATCAGTTAACTCTACAGAAAATGGTTACTCAGTTTAAAGAAAAAAATGAAAGCCTTCAATATGAAACTTCAAATCCTACTGTACAGTTAAAAATTCCTCAGCTACGAGTAAGTTCTGTTTCAAAATCACAACCTGATGATTCTGGTCTGCTGGATGTTATGTATCAAGTTTCTAAAACCTCTTCAGTCCTAGAAGGATCAGCTCTCCAAAAACTGAAAAATATACTCCCTAAACAGAACAAAATAGAATGTTCTGGGCCTGTAACTCACTCAAGTGTTGACTCTTATTTTCTACATGGGGACCTCTCTCCTTTGTGTCTTAATTCTAAAAATGGAACAGTTGATGGAACCTCTGAGAATACTGAAGATGGATTGGATCGAAAAGATAATAAGCAGCCCAGGAAAAAACGTGGCCGCTATCGGCAGTATGATCATGAAATAATGGAAGAGGCTATTGCAATGGTAATGAGTGGAAAAATGAGTGTTTCCAAAGCACAAGGAATTTATGGGGTACCTCACAGCACTTTAGAATACAAGGTAAAAGAAAGATCTGGAACACTGAAGACTCCTCCGAAGAAGAAACTACGATTACCAGACACTGGGTTATATAATATGACAGATTCAGGGACTGGCAGCTGCAAAAACAGCAGCAAGCCTGTGTAGATTACTTGTTAGGAAAGTGTGTGTGTGTGTGTGTGTGTGTGTGTGTGCGTGCGTGTGTGTGCACGCTTGTGTGTGCACAGGTGTGTATTTGTGTGTCTACATACACACGTGAGAATTACAAATGCTCACTCTGACAGGAGACATGAAATTTTACAGTTCAAAAACCACTTACATGCCTTTTGAAAAAAGTTTTATTCAGGGTTTTCACTGTGGACAGAATTATATAGTTGCTTACTTAATTCTGATAGTTTGTATTTAATCCTTGTATAAATAGGTGAAAAAAATTCAGGTTTTCTTTAGTAGTCAATAGCATAAAGCGTGGGAAAACAAGTAATTGTCAAGTGAAACATTTTTTATTGGTGAAAGAACATTCTAGCCATTCAGTTGAACCATCTTATAATGGAAATATGATACTAATACTTTGTGAACATTTTTACATAGCATACCTACAATTATTGTAAGTATGCCAAGACTAATCAAAGTTGAAATAGACAGCTATCTCCATACTAAGAAAAATTAATATATACAGTATTAATACACTATAGTGCATTCTATGAAATACAAAATGCACTTCAGTGCATCCACCAGGAATAGAAAAGAAAACCTTAAAGGATATGTATAATGAAGTTTAATATTTATCATTTAATAGTTGATTTAGCCGGAAGCTGGGGTTTATAAGGTATATACTTTAAAAAAAAAAAACACTTTCATAGTTAACCCCAGCAGCTATAGAATCCTTTAATATAAGATGGAATACTAAAAACAAAAAGTAATTTAAATTTAATTATTAAAATAATTTAATTTTGTTTTTCATTTGAAAAATAAGCTAATGTGTAAGGTTAGAAAAGAAAGTTGGAATGCAACTTAGAGCATGTTTATAATGTGCACAGAGAAAGCTTGAGAATGATAATTTTGGTTTAAATGTGCTGGTTAGTTGATGTTATGACTACTTTAAATTTTTAGGATTGTGACACACTCCTATTGAAAAACCTCAGTGTAACTTTAATATATTTGCTGCTGTGACATTTCAAAACATTTTCAGTTTATCAAAATGAATTACAGATTTCATTTTGGTGGGCGATACATTATCATTTTGCTAATAACCAAATTTGCAGTTTGTTCAGGGTCTTGAATAGATTTACAAATATTTAACACTGAAGCTGTTTTGAACTTTCAGTAATGTAAACTCTCTACTAATTGGGTAGTTAGAAGCTGGGCAGTGCATTTTAACTTTTACTAGACTCATAAGAGACCAGTAATTTTTATATAGCAGTTTTAAAGTGGGTCAGAGTATTCATGTTGGATTTATGAAGTATGCAGTTTTAGTAGTAAGAGGTTATAAAGCAGTTCCTCCATAAAAAGAATGAGGATTTGCTTTATACATTCAAAATTCTCTCTGTACCCCTTTTCTCTGTTAAAATTCAGGTTCTGGTTATTTTTCTAAGCCAGTTTCTCTAAGTCCAGAAGGAAATCTTACAGCTGAGTTTAAAAAATAAGTGCACCTTGTCAAATACTTGTGTTTCTACACTGTGGTTGTGTGTATTTAATGATGACATATACATGTAATATTAAAGAGATTTTCAGCTGTTAGATTAAAAAGCTGCTTACATGTATTTAAACTGAAGAGTGAGAAAATACACAACCAGGTAGTTATTTGGTCTCTGCGATCTATATTGAACCTTTTCAGCTGTTAATGTTACCTGCATACTAGGGTATGAATCCTCTTGCTCTTCCCCGCCCCCCCCCCCCCCGGAAGAAAGTATACATAATAGATTACAAAACAGCAGATGTCAGGGTCATCTTTCTTTTTAAAGAATTAAGCCATACTTTGTGAGGGCCAGAACTTGGATTATTTAATATATTTCCCCCCTTCCCCCCATTGTAAAACAAAGTTAAAGGTAAAGGAAATGTTTGAAAACAATTTTCTTGACCTTTTTATACAGAATTTTACTTGCAAAACTGGGGGCTCGAATGCATTACATAATATTTATATTGTATTGAGCTTTTTTATTCCTCACACTATATTTACATTAATAAATTGATTGAAAAGTTTATAGTAAAGGGAAACTTACAGAACACTTTTATATCATTTAAAAGATGACCTGACCAAAAACTTTACAGGATTCATAAATCAGGGATCATTTTGCTATTGACTTCACAGTGATCAGTAGTTTTATAGGTAATATTATAGTTAATTTGCAGCATTTTAGTACTTGTATTATTTATTTTTGGTCAGAAATAGTAAATTAAAATATTTTTTGATAGTTTATAGGTGATGATCAACCATAACTTTTAAAAGAAACAAAATGTTTCTATTATTGAGTTAACTTTTGATTATACAAACTAGGAAAGGCAGGGAAATTTATGGGTTCCCCTTCTCCCCAGCGGTTCTATTAAGATGTTCTTTATGTTAAACTTTCAAAGTACTTTATAAATTTAGTTACCAGTTATTACTTAAATTGACAGTTTTCTGAAAAATCCAGTTTCAGCAGATTTTTAATGAAGGTGAAAGCAACCCTTTACATGCTTTCTACTTATTTGAATGTTCCTCAAGTATTTTATATTTAAAATAAAAAAGAAGGAAAAGAAAAAACAGTGCCTCTGTTTTTAGAAAACTACTGCTCAGTAAAGTTGTTTAAACCATTTCTGGTAGCTAATGACAATTTTATATTAAATTGTATACTAACTTTAGTGAGACTGATTCTTTTTAGTTGTTTACAGTACAAATACTTGTATTTGTTTTTTAATTGCAGTATTTCCATTGTCGCAGTAATTTAGTAAAACTCTGTGGCTGCCTTGATTTTGACAGATTTTGTTAATATAAACTGATTGTTAGGCAATTAGTTATATTTATGCATAAATCAATTGCACTATAATTCATGAATTATTTATTACAATATTTTCTAATGAATTCATGTATCTGTCTTGTGTTGTAAATGTACTGTAATTCTGTTCCTACTTTGTGTTGTTATATATCTAAATCCGATTGTATGAATTTTAATTGTTCAGTTAACGTGTTTCTAGGTTGTAATTTGTAGTAAAGCACTTCAATGCTTTTGCACTTAAATTTACAACACTGTTGGTGTGTGATTGATTTACTCATTCAGTAAAAGAGAAAAAAAATGGAAAAGAAAAGAAAAAACTTGACTACACTGAATTCTTTGATTCCCTCTACAATCATATTAAAATTAGTATTAGAAATTGACTTTTTCAAAGAAGTGTTTCAACAAGCTTCTCATGGAAAAAATGGATAGTGACATACAAAAAAAATAAGTATAGAATCTTTAGGTTTAGAATTCAAGCAGAGAACAGTTAGAAAAAAATTAAGAACAAACATGTAATTCATGACAAGCACAGTTTTAGGACCTTTATATAATTACTCAAGAATAAATTCTAGATTGCAACTTACAGGTGTATTTAACTTATTTACTCATATTTTCCTTGAGATTCTAACATGCAAGAAATAAGGAAAAGACTATGAAGCCAAATACAAGTATAATTCGATTGTTATAATTTGAGAGCTTAGCTATCTATCCTAATGTATAAGATGTAATCTAACATCTGAATATCTAGTTAGTGCATTTACTAAGCTGTTCTTCATATAACATTAGATGGCAATTACCGACCACTGTGGTACTTTTGAAATTCTATCATTAAAAGTAATAAACTGAATAAGAAAGCATTTCTTTTAAAGTTTAGATTTCCTCGGAATGCCAGAAACGGTATATGAATGTCAATGGTTTCATAATTTTCTGAGTTCAATCATAACACTTTTTAATACTACTTTACACTAGTTATTTGTTGTTATTATTTTTACTTTAACAGGACCCATTTATTTATTTATTTTGGGTGTGGGGACTGAACCCAGGACCTTACTCATGTTAAGCACACATTCTACCACTGATTATTTCTTCCTTGTACATGACTTCATTAATGGAAAGATGCTTTGGAATATTTTAGGAACTATTAAGGAAGAATAGTAATCTTTAAAATATAGTGCAATATATTTTTCCAAGAAAAATAAATTTTCTTTTTAATTACTAAATACATTTAATAGACCATCATGCCACTTTAAAAACTGTTGAAATGTATCAGGATATTTGGGGTTTTCTTTTGCTATGTGAAAATTATAATTTCTAATTTGCTGGAAAGTGGATCTTAATAACTAGAAGATGTGATTTCCTATTGTCAGTAGTCTACATATTTTTTAATGGAGTTAGCTCCATCATTTTACACTCTCACCCATTACAAAATTTATTCTTAAATACTATTTTCAGAAGGGAAAGGATAACTAAGGTCATGTGTCTTCACCTATGTAGAGGCAGCACTAAACTTGAAATTTTATTGTGATTTCCCATCTCTTTTCATTTTGTTTGAGAACTGGTTTATGTCAAATTACATGCTCGTTTTAGTAAAACATTGAAGTTTTTTTCCAGAAAAGTTTTGATTACATCTTCAAATTTTGGTTTGGTATTTTTTACCACTCAAATAACAACTTTTATAAAATGTAAATGAAATATGCCATACCTCTCTGTAAAATGGGTTATACCAGTTGTAGGGAGCAAAATAAAAAGAATTCCACTTATTTTTAAAAATCCTTTTTAATACACCACAAGCTTACTAATCCCTCATTTAAACAGAATACATTCAGTTCATAATATACCCTGATTCCAACCATAAATAAAAGTTTTACAAATTAGGAAATATTAACAACAATAAATGTAATAAGTCACAAGAGAAAGGCTATTTTCATGTACAGTTTGGTGATATGTTTAATTAAAATGGATACTTTTCTGAAACAGAATTCTTTTAATATATTTTATTCTTCTTGCTGCTGGTATTGGAGTAAAAAAGAAATGTAGACTATATTGGTTGATAAGCAATCCTAAGTCTAAGTTAAAGTTAGATGTATGTTAGTTTCTGCAATAGAGCCTTTTACAGCATTTGAAATTTAATAATTAGGTAAGTAATGCCTTTAGTTTTCCTGTAATTACTTAGTATTTAAAATCAGTAAAAAATAGATTTCATTTTTAAATAGCTTCCATTTGTTTTGGGGTTTTTTTGTTTTTGTTTTTTTGCTAGATTAAAATGCCTGCAGCTTAATCTCAGGAAGTTGTTATTTATATGAAATTAAATTCCTTAATTTTCCTTGTGACTGTGCAGAGTTCTCTCTTACTGATATTTCATTTCAATACCTTGAAAAATATTTTAAATAAGGAATTTACTCCTACATCTTACTTTCCTTATTTGCATTAACATGGACTGATAGTTGTCAAAATAACTTAAAAATGTCTGCTCTACAAAAAAATTTCAACTCCTTCTGAAGCACTTTCCATTAAAATAAATATATTTAAAACACTTAATATTTTATCAATATGGAAACATAATCATATATCATCAGCTTTTATATTGCAAAAATAGGGCTTTGCTTTGATTCTTGTACTTTGCATAGGAAATTAATTGTGACCATCACTGCTTCATTATATTTTGCTAAAGAATAATCAAGATGTTATTGTTGCAGCTTTATAGGAGTCAGGAGTCCAGCAGTACCAAAATACTTTGTTCAAACTCTGTCAGAACTATAGCTCCATATCATGCTATTTTTGCTGTAATTCATTTTTTTTTGTTTGATTTTTATTTTTAGTTCAACTGTTGATGCAAAATCAGAGGAAGCTACTAAAATGGAAAAAGGAAAATCAGCATTAAGCACAGTTTTGGAATCTTTGTGCAAACATCACCAGCAACAAGTTTTGGCTATGTTGAAATTTCTAGTCCAGGAGCAGAATGCTGCTTCTCTTTGCTGTTGTAGTGCATCGTGTGCTGTTTCTTCAGAATCTCAAAAGCCCCTATTTGAAGATGATTTACATGGTGTATTCTGTAGTTGTGAATATAGGCTGGCAGAAAAGGGGTGTTTACAAAATGAAAGACCAAGCCCTGGTTTAGTGCCAGCCTGTATTAAAAAATTACACTGTTTATCTTGCCAAACTGTAACTATTGAGCACATTAAGACAGTAATGAATAGAGAAATTGCAAATAGTTATCATTCACACAGGTACTGTTCTGGATTGTTACCAGATATTCCCTCTACAAAATCAGCCTTTCATAGTCCTCTTTTGTCAAGGGAAGTATGTGATCTTTCAGTCAGTTTTAAAGATGTTTGTAGATCTCGAAGTCCCTCACCCCCACCATTATCACCTGTGCAGACCGAAGAATTTGAAAAATTGAAAGATGTCATCTCGGAGCTTTCAGCCTTAGAAAATAACAAACTTGAAACAAACACTAACCAACCTCCATCTCTAACACCAGCAGAGATAAGCATGAACAAGGCTGATCTTGAAGACAAAATACATAAAGCTGAGAAATCCAGTAACTCTGATTCTGTACTCTTGGATGCCAGCAATAATTGTACCACAAACCATGAAAAAGGTGAAACTGCTGTAATTTTTCAAGATTTAATGGATCGCATTAATGAAAAATTAAAATCAATAGAAACTACAGATGTGACAAACCTTGTAAAATTATCAAGCAGTGATTGTGATGCAGATAATGATTTTAAGTTGGGAGATTTAATAACATCTCTCTTGCATAATGCAAAGGCCAGTGATTATAGCTTTATGGAATTGCTGAGTCAACATGATAAAAATGTAGAAAATAAAGTTATTCAGACAAGATTTCAAAAGCGTCAACAAACATTATTTGCAATGCACAACTCTTCTGATTCACCTGTGATTAGAAGGCATTCTTTACAGATAAAAAGGGAACTTGCTAATCTTGATGAAAATTTTATAAGAAAAAAGTACACTGAAAAAAATTCAAGAAAATTGATACGCAACAATGGGATATTTTCATCAGATAAAGAAGAGTTTCATCATTGTCAAGAGACTTTTTTACAAAATTCTAAAAGTTTCCAAGATAAAAATTACACTGAAGCATCAATTTCACCAAATTATACTATACAGTCATTGCAGGAACCTCTTCATAGTTTAGAAACTAATTTGACTTTAGATGAATTTTCAGAAAGCTTTAAAACAACTTCGCCTGAGAAAATGAGCATAGGAAAATCACAGGAGAAACTTGCAGCTGAAAAAAAAACTTTGCAAAATAATAGGGAAAATAGAAAACTAGAGAATACTCAAACACCTTTGAAAAATAATATTCCTGGACTTCTGAGCAGAACTAAACGAAATATTGTGCCTCCAGGTTGGTATTCTATATATGTAACAAATAATTATGTTTACAAAAAATCCCGTAAGACCAAAAGAGTATTGGAATCCACACAAAAAAAAGATCCAGTGAAAAATGTTCAAATTGAAAGCTCACAAACTGTGGACCTAAACAGAATTGCAATGAATTCTAATTTACAGGTTCTTGTGGAGCGTTTGGAAGATACAATAAATATGGCCCAAAAGTCTTGGAATAATCAGCCCCTATCAGAAGGATATAAAACATCCAAGAAGTTGATAGAAATTGATAGTAAAAACCAAAATGCTGGGAGAAGTGTGACTGTTACTTTAAATAGAATGACACATAAAGAACAGGGTTTATCAAGACCTGTGATAACATCCAGCAATATTACCAAAAATCACCAGATGCCTACAATGTATGTGAATAACAAAAGACTTGATAATCCAAAAAGGGCATCTATTTTAGAGACAGGTAGCTTGATTTCAGGTGTTGAAAGTGTACCAACAAAATGTGCTAGTATTGAAAACTCTCCTTTTTCTAACTATTCTAGTCCTATCAAACTCATGTTTTTATCAGAGATGAAAAGCAGTGAAGGAGTCAAATATACTTTAACTTCAGTTGGTTCTTCACAATCAAATGTACATCCTCCTGCAAAACATGCAACCTATCATATAACTGGAAAAAAACTAGAAACAAATGAAGATATCCCAGATGTTAACCTTGAAAATTACAGTTTTAATCATTATGATATTGACACTCTTCAAAGAGAGCTAAACAAAGAAAATGCAGAATCCTCTGCAGTATTTACAGATGGTTTAAATAATGATAAATCACAAGAACAACCTAAGGAAAAGTTAAGCAATGCTGTAGATTTATCTTTTAAAAGAAAACCAGGTAGACCTAAAAAAATAGGCCCCCAAGTTGTGAAACAGATTAAACGGCCAATCGGAAGACCACCAAAACCTAAAACTGTTAAGACAGATGTCACCATTTGCCAAAATGAATCCATCAGTACTGGAGGAAAAAGCCCAGAATCTCTCTTAGCAGAAATAAAAGAAGGTATTTATAAAAAAAGCATTACAGTCACTGTTATTTATGGAAGGTCGAGAAGAACAAAAAGGCATGTTTCTGAAGGAAGTGTGAACATCAATAATATTTTGTCACTAAATGATAATGTTGCTGATTTTCCACCTGGCTGTGATAGTCTCAGAAATATTAGAGGACACAAAATTGACTCAGGTGAACGAGTAAGTGCTGTGTCAAGCTTGACTACTGAAAGTGAGATCTTGGAGTCTGGTTTTGAATATGTTAGACCTATCAAGAACAAGTCTGTAATACCTCGACCTTCCAAGATCATTATTGGACCAAATCAGAAGCCTTTGGCAATAATTAGGAAGCCTGGTAGGCCTGCAAAAGTGAAAATCTCTGGCATATCTGTGACTATTAGCAGAATTTCACCTCAGGAAAGAGAAATAAGTATTAGCAGCTGCTTACCTCCTTTAGAACAGGAGAAGATGTTAGAAAAAATCCTGCCTGGAGAAAAGAGTGACCAGCAGTGCAGTAAGATGGATAAAACAAGGCACACTGAAACTGACACATTTAAGAATGAATCAAAAAGTATGGTTTCTACTATGCCTTTGAGACATTCTATTAGGGATAGAAAACCACCTCTTCATTTCTTACATTCATTAGCATCTTCTAGCTCACTTATTTATAGAAATGCTCTGCTTCATAAGTCATATAAACTGCATTTGCAGAAAGGCAAAACTCAGAAGCAAAAACATAGGCAGTCGAAGATAAAAATAGCTTCCAAACATACCCCAGGAAGTAGACATTCAAGGAATGCAAAAAAGTGTTTGGAAGATAATAAATTAATACCCATTTCTGAAGTATCCTTGGACCCTATAATTTCATCAAACCGTTTGCTCAGATGGTGGGCTACTTCTACTTCAAATGATTCCTTGTTAGAGGAATTAAACAATAGATTTGATCAGATAACAAATGCTTGGGTGCAAGTAAGTGGAGATGAAGCTGAAAACTTTGCTCATAAAACAGAATTCATTGAAAATGATAATTTCAAAATAGCAAACCCTTTGGAAACTTGTCTTTTAGAACTTAAAGTTTCACCTGTAAAAATGCTTTTTCAGAAAAAGTATGATTTGAATGAACTCTGTACCTGGTTTATGCAAACAACAGAAACACAGTCTCTTTCCCTAGTTAGAAAAGCAAATGCTCGAAACCCTTTGGAAGTAATAAATACCAAGGGAATTAAATTAGGGACCAAATACTGTGATTTTAATACCAGTCCCTTCAGAAAGCACTTTAAAAAATTTGCACTCTCTTCTCCTTCAAAATCATCAGAGAAGTTGCATTTACTGCATAAAATGGTTAGCTCTCCCCTTTTAAATATGCGAAGTAATTTAACACTAGCTAGATTGAAAAGAACTGAGTTTAAGAGGTTGCACCATGAAAGGTGGAGAAGAGAGGGAAAGCTGCACAACCATGAAACAGTTGATTGGAACTCTAAAAGAAGGAATTTAAGATTTTTCTGCCAGAACCAATTTATGAATAAGACTGAGGGGGGAAGAAATGCTGAAAATCCACTCTGTGGAAAAAGTACAGTGGATAATCAGTATATTTTGCCACCAGAGATTTTGCAAGAGAGGGTAGCAATGCCTGACTTCCAAATACATTCTAGTTTAGAAAATAAACTTAAGTCAAAAGCAAAGGAGAATGGGACAAATTGCAGCCAAAAAGATCTTGAAAAGAGACTAAGACTAGGAAATGTATGTCCCAATAATTGGAGATCAAAAGCCCTAAAAGATTGTAGGATATTTTTGAGGAAGATCAACTGTCTTGAGCACAGGAATACTTTTAAGTTAAATTCAATCATTTACTCTCCTGAATCTGTTGACAGTAGAAGTACTCATCAGACACATGCAGAAGAATCAAAGCGGTTTACCTTAAGATCCCATTCTGCTAGGCAAAATCCTTTAAAAATACAAACTAAAGAAATAGAAAATACTAATGCAAATAGCTCTTCAACCAATAAATTAACTGATGAACTTGGCAATAGTAAGTTGAGTAAATGTGTTAATTTTGACAAGAATCCTGATAGTTCTGAAGTCCTTAGCAAATTGAACAAAAGAAAAAGACCACCATGGAAGACCACAGAAATGTCAACAAAAAGACATAAACGACAGTCTTGCAACCATGGACAAATGGCAAACTGTTTTTCAAAATCCCAACTGGGTAAGTTTTTCTCTACTTAATTTTAAAGTTTCATTATAGGTGCCTTGAGTAAAGTATAAGATAGCAGGTAGAAAAGGAACAGTTGATTCAGTTTTATTTCTAAAATATTTGGACAACTAATTTCTTGGCACCTAGTATGAAACTCATGAAATTAGGTGCAGCTAAATATACCAACCAGTGCACATCCCATCTTACAATGTGTCTGACATTTTGAGCACATAAAACTATAGCAGAGATATTGAAAGCTTCTTTAAAATAAATCATGAGTAAAAGTTACAGTACCTGCTTTTGCATTTAATAAATCTAATACAAAATCAGAAAACAGTTTGACAGATAAATATGAACATGTAATTGACTAAAAACTATACAAAGGCTAATACATATATATATATATATTCTCTTGATACATAACAACTATTAGACCATGCAGGAAAAAGTCAAGACTGTCTGAATGTTGAACACTGTAACATACTATAACCCTAGGATTTCAGTCCGCTCCCCCATCAGAACAGGAAAGAGTGAGTCATTGTTATAGCAATAATTATGTGCTTTATTAGGCTCTACTGACGTGACACTGGTGCCCAAGAGAGACTGTTACCCTTCAGAATCTAGCTTTAAAAATAGCTGCAGTTGCTGATGTAGCCATTTCCATCTCCACTTATTTAATGAATGGCAGACCATGCAGGATATTTAGGAGTGTAGGAGAATTTCCTGCTTACCGATTATTCCCTTGCCATGAAAGAGGTCCAAGTTACATTTGGAAATTCAAGGGTGTGTCTTGAATTTGGTATTGGTGGCTTACTTTTGTAACCTTGTTTTTTTTGTGTGTGTGTGTGGTGGTACTGGAGTTTGAACTCAGGACCTTACGCTTGCTATGTACTTTATCACTTCAACCACACACCTGATCCTTCTTTTTCAGTTTTATTTTTCAGGTAGAGTCTTGCTTTTTCCCAGGCCGGCCGTGAACCACAATCCTCTTACCTCCAACTCCCATATAGATGGAATTACAAATGTGCCATTATGACTGGCTTGTTTTGAGACAGGGTATTGCTAACTACTTTTTACCCAGGCTGTCCTCCACTGTGATCCTCCCATACCTTTCTCCCACATATCTAGGATTATAGATAGGAGCCACCACCCTTGTTACCTCTTTAAAAACTTACTTCAAAGCTAAAATAAGTAGTATCAGGTCTTAATATTAAAATGTTAAAAGCAGTAATTATATTCCAGAACTTAATAGGTTAAAGATTTTATGGCTTCCCAAAATTCTATTGTTTAACTGAATAACTTTAATTAATTCAAGAATATGTAGTGTGTAATGATTAAATTTCAAATATCTATCATGAAATTGAAATTTTAAAAGAAATCGAAGTAGAACCTCCATTATGAAAGATGAAGCAAAACTAGAAAAAAATAACATTAGAACAAATACTGTGCTAGGGGAAAAAACCTGACAGTGATTTTTTTAAAACATATAATTCACCTAAGAATATTTTTATGAAGAATAAAATGTAAAGCTTCATTTTTTACTTCTCTGTATCATGCTCATTTCATGTTGTTTACAGTTTACTGAAGGTAATTGCATTGACTCATTTTACAACAGAACCGTATTTTATCTTTCAAACTTTTGACCATTGTGTTTTCCTAAGAATCAGCTATAAAGTTTATTTTACTGTGATTCTTCACACCACTAAATATGAGATAATGCCAAAACAGTAAGATGGAAAATGTCTATTTTTCAAATCATTGTTAGGTATTTAAAAATTCTGGCATACTATGAGGAGTTGTTTTCCATCTTTCTCATTTTAAAAATTACTATTATTATTTCCTGTTCTGCTTGAACTTTTGTTTATCCTTGACTGATAACTTTCCTTCTTTTCTAATATGCTTTTTTTTAATCAGTTGGACATTATAAAGTTATATAGTAATATTCATTATATTTATCTGATTTTGTAATGTTTTCTTATAGTGTTATTTTCTTTCCTCATTATTCTTGATATTCCATGCTTCTTTTTACCCTTTTGGAAGTGACACTAAAAATCATTATTAGTTTTATATGTATTTTTCTTCTTTGTAGAATGATGAGAGACTTTTAACAGTAGAACTTTTCGAGAAAAATTCCTAGGGCCATGGTTATAATGAATTTTGGAATACTTCTATTGGAGAAGAATATTGTTTCTACCATGAATGTCTTATTTTGATATTAACTATCCAGATACAGTTTAATACATAGGGGTCTTATGTTTATTCTTCATCACATTTGTGCTGTTCTACATTAATTGTAGACATGGAAAAGAGGATGAAAAAATGTAATTCTGTCCCATGCCTTGTTCAACAAATATTTAATGAATGCCTACAATATGTTCTTCGTCACTGTGGAAGGTTCAAAAAGTTCCCTTTCCATCTAAGTGAGAAAATAAGACCTTCAACATGTATTTATTCAATAAATAGAGTATATTGTATGTCTTAAGTAGGATGTTATGTGTGTTAAGGGAATAAAATGACTAAGTCATGTTTTTTTGCCCTTATAGAGTTTAACATCTTGTGAAGGATAAAAAAATGAATAGACACTACTGGTAGAAGGATGAGTGAGTACTATGACCAGAAAGAGGTGAATGGTAGAAACACATACGAGGGAAACTGAACTCAAATTTATCCTACATTGTCATGTCTAAGCTGAGACTTGAAGCATGTCGAAGTATTAGAAGTTGGGAGAGGATTGTTTCAGGCACAGCACATTGCATATGGAAAATTTGGGCAGGTAAAATAAAGTAAAGCTATCTGGAATATTGAGTAATTTATCAGCAGAGGTATAAAATATGAATCATGGGTTGACAGAGCTTGGGAGTGGAAAAATGCTGAAAGATAAAGCTACTCTCATGAGAGAAGCGTAGTCCAAATTGTGAGGTTAACATCAGTTAATGGGGGGAAAAGTTTTAATCTCTAATAGTAGCAGTAATGGAAAAGAATAGATTTGAGAGAAATCTATATAGCAAATCAGTGTCTTAGAGAGTAGAGGAATAAAAGATACCATCCACGTTTTGGCCTTGAGCATCTGGGAGATCAACAATCACTGAGATACAAGAAAATACTCTGAAGGGTTCAGTTTTATACATAAGGGATTTCGGGTATCTAGTGAGAAGCAGTTAGGTGATAAGGGTCTGTTGCCCAGGAAAGAGGCCTGAGTTGAGATGGAGAATGAGGAGTCAGCAAATGAAGTCACAAAGAGTAGGAAAGATTACTTAGTGCAAGACTGAAAGAGTCCAAGATCCCAGATCCCCAAAGGTACAGGCACAGAAAAGATGTGCATAAAAGGAGACCAATGATAGTAATCAAGAGGTAAAGAGAAGGGTGCGCTCAGTTGTGTACAAGTATAATCCCAACTACTCAGGAGGTAGAGACAGGAGAAATTATGATTTGAGGGCCAGCCCACTCAAAAGTTAATGAGACCCTATCACAGTGGTGCATGCTTGTGGTTCCAACTACTCCAGAGGCAGAGTAAGAAGATCATAAACCAAGGCCAGTGCAGGCAAAGTTAGCAGGAGACCCTATCTGAACAAAACACTAAATGCAAAAGGACTGAAGGTGTGGCCTAAGTGGTAGAGCACTTGACTAGCAAGTGCTTGACCCTGAGTTTAGTCCCTAGAATCACAAAAATAAACAAATAGAAGTAACAGAAAAGCTGGAGAGCATGGTGAAGGGAAATGTATTTTAGGAAGGCAGTGTAAATTGCTGATAAACCAATTAAGATGAGCCCTGAAGGGCTTGGCAGAGTGGCTCAAGTGGTAAGAGTACCTGCCTAGCAAGTGTGAGGCCCTGAGTTCAAACTCCAGTTCTGCCAAAAAAAAAAAAAAAGCCCTGAAATAGTTCCGTAAGGTTATCTTCTTACTGATTTATGAGAGAACAGCGCTACATGAGGAAATTTAAAAAATTGGCACAGAAAAACTATAAATGGCTATTAATGGAGAGAAGATAGAAAGGAAACTACATTAAACTGGGATCGAAGGTGTATTTAGAAAATTGCTTAGATGTCAGTGGGACTAAGCCAGCGAAAAACCAAAAGATAGAGGTCAGGCATGGTGGCTCATACCCCTAATCGTAGTTACTCAGGAGACAGATCGGAAGGATCCAAGATTCCAGGCCAATCTGGGTGGAAAGTTGACAAGACCCCATTTCAATAAGGTGGGTGTGGTAGTGCATGTCTGTCATCCCAGCTACCTGGGAGGCATAAAAATAGGATCAAGGGCCAGGCCAGCCCAGGCAAAAAAAGTGACCTTATTTGAAAAATAAGTAAAGCAAAAAGGAATGGAGGTGTGGCTCAAATGGTGAAGTGTCAGCCTAGCAAGTATGAGCTCGAAGCTTCTACGGTGTTGAATAGGTATAGGATATGGAAGAATGTTGGAGGCTGGTCTTGGCCAGAAGGTTTTGTTTTCTCTTTAAAATGTAGCGTAATATGTGGGATGCAAATCAGTACTTCATGGGCAGAGCATTGAGATATTAGACTCGAGGTAATATGGAAATAGCATTTGCCTATTGGGGAATGTGGACCAAGTTTGGAATAGCTGTCTCAAAGAAATATACAATTGAATGTGGTTTTATCTCCTGCCAGGCTGTACTCTTGGAGCCCTTGGTTTTATGATAGTTGAGTTCACCATGTAGTTATGTAAAGCAGGACAGAGAGATCAAATCAAGAATGTATCATCCATTATTCCATGAATAGTAAGGAGCTATGTGATCAGAGTCGAATTCCACATAATCTTTTCTAATAGTAACACAAAATAGAGATTTGGGGTTTGGGGGCAGGAAATGGGGTATATGAAAAGCCAGTTGCTGAAGATTTTTGAGATGATACTGGCCTAATTTGAAGTGTGGCTATTGAAAATAATGATACAGACTTTTTATATGGCCTGTATTTTCAGTTCCCAAAAAAATATGTACCTTGTTCTAATTGGTAAATATCTGGATGTAAATAAACTGATTTTGGACTTGTGAGGAAATCTGTAAGACTAAAATAGCCTAC